CAAACAAAAATTGATGAAATTACTTGTGGTGTTATGTGAAGCGAGATCAAGGTATGTGTTTAATTTGATGTTTGTTTCGTATCTGAATAAAGTATTGAAAATTGTTTGTTGAAATTTTTGATATTCTGTATGAGAGATAGGATCATCAATCAAGGAATTTATTTTTTCATCATAAGCGTTACGTGTGTTTAATAACAAATATCTTGTTTCGTTTTTTATCATATCTTCTATATTATCTTCATTTATGATATCAAGATCTTTATGTAAATTTAAAAATTTATTTTCGATATGTTAAAATAAATCGATTTTTAATTTTAAATTTATCATGTAAGATATTTTTTTGAATTTTTGCATGATATTGTGTTCTATTTCGTCGAAATCTTCGCAGTTAATTATTTGGTTTTTTAACTTGTTATAAAGATCCAGATTTTTTAAAGTGTGTTTGGTATATTCTGATAATTTACTTTTTTGATAATTAGACTATTTGATATCTTGCTTCATATGGTTTTCTAATTTGTTGACATCTGTTTCTAAAAATATTTTTTCTTTTGTATTCATAAACAATTTTACTGTTCGTTTTTTATCTATTATTTTATTTGAAAGAGTATTGGATTGTTTAAAATTACTGATTCTCTTATCGTTCAATAATTTGATTTGATTTTCATTTACTAATTCTTTATCTAACATATGTATTTTTGTTTCGTATTTGTTATTATTTTCGAAATATTCAATGTTTTCCGAATAGTGGTTTAAACCATTTTCGATGTTTCTATAAAGGCATTTGTTATGTTGAATTTTGATTTGTTTTTCTAGATAATCAAAAGAATTCCTAGAGAGAATAATATTATGAAAATCTTTAAATATTGATAGTTTGATAAATTCTTTGTCTATAATATTAATGATTTTTCTATTGAGGATTTCCTGAGTATTAATCAACTTCAAATAGATTTCCAAGTTAAAGATGGTGTATGTTTCATGTAATTTTTTTTCTAAATATTCATGGTATTCTTGTAATTCATCTTTGATGATTTGATTATTTATTTTTTTATTGATTATTGTATCAATTGGTCCTTTTTTTGCTAATGTTGGTGGAAATAATGTTTTCTTCATCTCATGTATTATTTTATTTTTTAATCCTGTTTCGTTATCTATCATATTATCATATTTATCTTTGTTAATATTTAGATATTTACTGTAAATATTTTCATAAATGGTTTTAAACATGTTTTTGTTAAATGTTTTATAAAATTTTTTGTATTTTTCAAATAGGGTTTCTCATTTTCACAATTTTGTATTTTGTTTAAATACACATTGTAAAAATTATATTCTTGAATTTTTTGATCTAAATAAGTGTATAATTTATTTTCTTGATAATCTGATAAATTAA